GGAACAGAAGTGCTGGCTCTCCCGGAGCCTGCCCCGCGGGCAGGGGGAGTTAATGCCGGATCTCAGTTCCCGCCCCCCAAATCCTCTTTCACACTTAAATCCGCCTCTGAGGCGCCTTGAGTCCTGGACAAAGGAGCCGTGTGAGCCGGGTGCCCGCTAATCCCGCCCCAGCCCCATGCTCAGCATGTGCTCTGGGCATGCAGGGTCTGCCCCCCTGCATGGCTGGGCTGGGCCTGGGGCCCTGGGCAGGGAGGCTCCGATCTCAGTTCCCGCCCCCCAAATCCTCTTTCACACTTAAATCCGCCTCTGAGGCGCCTTGAGTCCTGGACAAAGGAGCCGTGTGAGCCGGGTGCCCGCTAATCCCGCCCCAGCCCCATGCTCAGCATGTGCTCTGGGCATGCAGGGTCTGCCCCCCTGCATGGCTGGGCTGGGCCTGGGGCCCTGGGCAGGGAGGCTCCTGCTCTGCCCAGCCATTGGGGCCCCCTTCCCACCCCTCCATCCCCATAGTCCCCTTTGAAAGGAACTGGCCTGGAGCCCCAGGCTGTCCTGGCTTGTCTTCATCGTTGTCACATGCATTGGCGGGGGGGCAGCTGCTCCTCCCCCACCCGTGCAGCAGGATTTTTAGCCTGGAGAGACCACTGTACCGGAGGGGAAACTGAGTCACGGAGCGATTGTGCTTGGAGGCAGAGCAGAGCTGGGGACAGAACCTCGCTGCCTGCTCTAACCACTAGTCCCCACTTCCTTCCCAGTGCTAGGAGAGACCCTCAGAGTCTTGCTAGGCCTAGACCCCAGGCCTGTGCTTTAGCCTGGTGCCACCATTCTTGACTTCCCACCCCCCTCGTTGGCTGGGCACACCCGGGGCAATAAGCAGGGTCACTTTACAGCCCCCCAACAGTGGGTACAACATGGCAGGCTCCTGGCATCTCCTGTCCAGCCCTCTCCTTACCCTTCGCCCCTTCAGTCACACTCCCTGTGCTTGGCCTGGGCAAACTGGTCCCCTCCAGAGCCCGGTTCCCCTCTCTCTGCCTGCGTGGGGGCGCACATGGTATGTGGGTGCAGGGCCCCACTGTTGCCTCCTGGCCTGACACAGAGCCACCCCTGCCCTGGCACTGCCCCCTGTGCCCAACTCCTGCTGGGGGGCTCTGCAGGGCCACAGGGGTTAACCCTGGGCTCGCAGGACACGCCCTGTGCGGGAGGAAGAGGGAGGGCTGGAAAATCCACCCTTCCCCACACTTGGCTAGAGCAGAACTTGTTGCTCAGCCTCGCGCAGAAGGACCCAGCCCCAACTTCCACGGCACCAGCTCAGGGCTGATCTGAACAGCAGGGAGGTATGTGAGGCAAAGGCAGGGTGGGGAGGCCAGTCAGGGCAGGCTGTGGGGGGCAGCAGGAGGGCCAGCGGGGGCGGGGGGAGGGCGGGGGCAGGCAGGCAGCTGGATCTATGCCAAGGGCCCCACTCTGGGGTGATGCTGGGCCAGCAGGTGCTGGGGGCTGCAGGTCCTGGGGGGCAGATAGGGGTTGGTGCAGTTGAGGTCAGGGGCAGGGTGAGGGGCTTAGCCTGGATTTCCCCCTGTGAATCCCCACCCAGGCTGCAGGGTGGCAAAGCTGATGGGGGGGCTGGGGGGCACTAGCAGGGCTGTGTATGGGCTGGAAGCCCAGGTGGTGCATCAGGACTCCAGGTGTTGAGCTGGGATCATGAACAAGCCTCCCCCCTTGTGTGCCTCAGTTTACCCCCGGAACACAACATGCGCACCCCCCTTTGGCAACTACGGTGGAAGGGCATCTCGCTACCCAGCCTGTTGTGTGGCACCTGGCCCTATGTGTTCCCTGGGCCATGGATGGGCACAGCTGGAGGGGGGAGCTTGGGAGTGAGTGGCCCCTCCCCCCAAGTGTATCCCTGCTTTGCCAGCCAGGAGCAGGGGGCTGGCTGTTCCCGCATCCTGCTGCCTGTGGCCGGGGCCGAGCCAGGGTCCTTTTGCCACCGGGAGATGTGGTGGGTCCCAGCCAGGCTGGGCCCCTGGATAAGGGCCTGCCCTTCCGTTAACCCTTCCAATGCTGGGAGCAGGCAGGACCGGGCCTACCCTGGCTGGGCTCCCCCTGGGGCGAAGGAAAATAACCCACCAGTGATTGCTGGGTGGGTGGGGACACACACACACACCAGGGAAATGTGGGGGGCACAACCTGGCTGCAGCCCCCCATTCCCAGGTGCAGAACTCCACAGCCCACCCTGGGCCAGCCCCAACCCCATTCCCAGTGAGACGCACCCAGCTCCCCGCAGGTTATGAAACCTCCTCCCAGGCTGGGCTGCTCGCTGTTAAGGGGATTCAGGGACACAGCTCTAATCCCCCTTGGTAATACCCCCCCAGCCACAGGGCATGGGGCAGCTGGCCCAGCTCTGCCTCCGGAGCCAGGGAATGGGGGGAACCCTCATCCCTTAGCTACGCGTGCGAGCCCC